TTACCGACCACGAGAACACCACGATCAATAGATTCATATGTGGCAAACCAATCCCTATAAGGACACATATGGTAAGTACAACCAAAATCAAGAATTCACTCGGTCTTACTCTTCTTCTCCGAGGTGGCCAAGAGCACTAGATCAACTGATTTTTCAGGTTGTTTCTTATTAACCTCTTATTCTTCAATTTATAATATTCAGAAAAATCATTCCCAAATTTCTTGTAATAACGACATGTCTTGTTGGAGTTATGTCCCCTAAACTTAGATGTGGATTTTTTTGAGACACCTCTTACAAATAAACTCCCAGCCGTATCCTCAGCGCGGATATCAATATCAAATTTTTCTTTTGACAATAAATTGGATTTAACATCTTCGTAAGGGTTTCATAATTTCTACACAACATGATTGCTTTAAAGTGTTTGTAAGAGGAGGATAACGAGATAACCAACAAAATAGCTCTACCCTCATCATCAATTTTAACATCAAAATTTTCCAGATAAATAATTAAAGAGTTAAACTCATCAAGATGAGATGGAATAGGGGTACCCTCAGCCATACAAAGCGTGTATAATTGCTCTTTGATACGGATCTTATTCGCGAGGCTTTTAGTCATGTATAACAATTGAAGCTTTAGCCACAATCCCGAAGCGGAAGTCCTCATGGACAACTTTTCGAAGAACCTTCTTGGACAAATATTGTTGGATAACAAAAAGCACCTTTCTCTCACAAAGTTATGAATCCTATGAAAATTAGGTTAAAGAAATACTGTACCATATAACTATACTAGTAAGCATAGCCCGTGATGTGCACGGGCCCAAGCTCTAACAGATAAATTAATATAATTCAAATTAATTAATTTAGCTTTGTATTCTTCAGATTTGAGCATGATAAAGAAATTTAATCTCAATTTTGTTCCCTAAATTCAATAGTTAAAACACTGGCCAAATATTGAGAAAATTGTTTGATCGTATTTCACAAGAAACAAAATTTTCTTTACCCTCACTCAGATGCTTTTTTAACTCTTACAAATTTTTAAATTTTAACCTTAGCAAATATTGTACATAGTCTATATTGGTATTATTCTTTATGTCTTTAAAAGAACGATAATGACACGATATAGGGGACTATCTATTTTGGTTTTTTTTTAGTATGAAAATAATTCCTTTTCATTAATAATAATTTATTTCTAAACTTTTAATATCAAATACTTACCTAAGTATTATTTTGTCACCTTATCTTCTTAATGCTGCTCCTAATATTTGTTTGAGGTGTTAGTTTTTAAAGTGAAGTCATCTTCTTCCTCTAGCTAAGTTAATATTTTCACTGGTTATTTTGTTATCAGTGCCCTCACGACACCTTTGGCGGCATGATCTTTTCTTATTCACTTGTGTTCTGAATCTAAGGGATAGGTCTTCCCCTTTTTAATAATGACATACTCGGTTAGATTATCATTTAACTCTAGATCCCAATTAAATCCTTTTTTTCCTCTTGATTCTTCTGTTAAAATTCTATAAGTTTTGCTCCTTTTTTATAAATTTATTAGCATAACTTAAACGTCCATTTTTTTTCTTATTGGAGAATTTTTCTTTAATATATATCATTGAAAAAAAGCTAATACCTTCACCAATATTATACAGAACTTGCACCAAGTAGAATCATATAACTTGATAATACTTGTATTTAAACTATTGAACTTTGCATGTTTATCATCGATCATTTTAGATTTTTTTACTATTGTGTGCCTAACTCATTTGACTTTTATTAAGGGAAATAATTTTCTTTACTCCAATAAATAGCTTGTATTACTTCTACGGTATTATTTTTGTGTATGTTGTTTTACTATTGTAGCTATCTTAGTATATGATTTGCTGGGTTCTGGCCCGCGTTGCGGGCCCAATATTGTAAAAAACTGAATAATGATATTCACATTTTTATTGCTCAAGTAAGAGAACTAATTAACCTTGGTCACCTTTATGTTGACATGAATTTTTACAGAAAAGAGAAATAAGAGACCAAAAAATTCACATAATATCGAATCAAATATAGATAGTGTTGCGTACCGATTGTTTCACACTAATTGCATTTCTTTAGGAACACAATTGTTCAAGTTGTACAAAGTCATTCAGGGATGATATGTGCTTGCGAAAAAAGATATGAGAGTAATCTATTTACATATAAATTATCTACACATATTGACATGATATGATGCAAGGCACGTTTAGTTACTATAATTCACCATAGCTGGCGATACTTTCTCATCTCAAATGGGAGTTCTTAATCATCAAAGCTAAAACCTTTCACATAAATCTTTCTACCGCTACAATTTAACATCTTCGTTGTGTCCTCGACAAAGAGGCCATTAGCGTGGTTCCCATTTCAATTTCCTAGAAAGGGATATTCATATTAACTATTCAGTAATTAGTGACATGTAAGAAGATTTCAGACGGACTACAAAAGCATAAGAAAGTACAGTTAGAGTGATTGAAATTATAAGCTCAATGGGAATTAACTTGAGTACTTATGTTTAAGACTAAAGCTCCAGTCCTGCTTTCTGTTAAAATTCCGCTGCAATATGAACTGTGATACTTTTGTTGTTTTTTGGGAGTAATATGTATCATGATTTAAGCAAATGTACAGATAATTCTTCCTGTTAAAATTATTCACCAACAACAACGACCCAATAAGAGGATAATGATCAAGATATTGGATGTGAGGGCAGATTTTGCCTTATCACTCAGATATTACATCTCGATTTGCACAAATACGTTTGCATTGGCATCCACATTATCGGAGCTTACCCGATGAAACTTCTGTAACACATTGTCAATACCTGATCACTGTACTAATATGCAAATAATAGTCTAACAATACCAAATGAATTATCGCGACTTAGGTTTTCTGCCAACCCTCATATGGATTTGTGGGGCTCATTCCAGCCAGCAATGGCTAGACAGCAAATTTGTCACCTCTGAATACACTCTGGAAGTTTCATAGTGTAGCGTATACAACGTCAACATATTCAGGCTGGTCGAGCAGCATTCCAGACCAACATATGTTATGGTGACAGCCGTGATTCGATGATATTCTCATTCTTCCGTGACTTCTTGTCACGATCCGGATTTCCCACCCTCGGGAGTCGTGATGGCGCCTACTAATGAGAGCTAGGCAAGCCAACTTAATTAGCATTTTCATTAAACACCTATTCTTTTTTAACAATTAACAACATTAAATAAAGGCGACGGAAAGACTTAAATGTAGATAGATGATCAATAATACAGAAGTTCAAACACAAATATCTCTACCCCGGGACTGGTGTCATATACTCACGAACATCTAGGGAGTACTAGATACAAAGTATGAAAGAAACATAATCTGTTTATCTCGAGTACAATGAAATGACAGCCAAATGTAAAGATAGACGGGAGACGCCGGGCCTGCGGACGCCTGCAAGCTACCTCGGGTCACTCTGGACTGAAGGTTCGCCCCGTGCTAATGATGCTGCTGCTCAATACCTGGACCTGTGCAAAAATGCACAGAGTGTAGCATCAGCACAACCGACCCCATGTGCTGGTAAGTGCCTGGCCTAACCCCGGCGAAGTAGTGACGAGGCTAGACAGGACCTAACAAAAACAACCTGTGCAGGTGTATATGTATAAACAAGTACAATGAAATAACAACAGAAAATACCAGCTAAGGCAGGGAGGGGACATGCTTGGGGGAAATACAGATGAACACAATTTATCAGAAGTAAACACGGAACCACATCCAATCTCATAATCTATATAAGTGGTCGGCGTGCCACACGATCCCATTTCATAATATATA